ATCTTTATTGCTGTTCTTTAGCAGAGAAACACTATGGGAAGCTGTAAGGAGTGGTCAAGATGTGGTGTTCATCATGTGTTTATGCCTCTGAAGCGCTTTTAGAGGAAGATGCCAAAAACTGCAAACTGCTTCCAGAAGATGATATAAGGCCAAATTAGAGATCCCAGTAGGAAGCGGCCCAGGAGGTGAGCGTGGCCTGCCGCAGAGGGCAGAGACTACCAGACGTTTCCAAAGAGACTAAAGGGTGAGTTGTGTTGAAAAGATGAATGAAATTCAAACAGCAAACAAATAAATAAATAAACTAGAAGACAGAAAAAATACTCATGAATCCTGAGAACGATCAGTTACGACTATGGATTAGACACCTGTCCCAACCAGTTAATTTCCCAAAACAATAAAGCATATTATCCAGGCCGCATTGGCTTTTGTCTTTCTATTTTTTAAAATTAACCAGGCCCCAAATACCCTGCAAAGATATTAATATGAAAAGTATTTCTATTAATTGATTCGTTGGATACCCTTTTGGGTGAGTGGCCTACAATCCCGCTGCCTCAAATAAGCAGGGAGAGTCCGCTGAGAGTTGGCGAGCATGTGGACATTCTGCAAACGGCCCGGGTGGAAGCCAGCTTAGCTAATTCAATCTGTTTCGTGGGTAAGTGGTCCTCGGTTCACTGCGCCTACTCACCGTGGTCAAGGATATACTTCACGATCTCCCCGTTGCCGGTTTTAGCTGCGTGGTGAAGGAGTGAACAGTGGTCTGGTCCCTGAATTAGCAGACTGCCTCCGTTTTTATAGCTCTCTATTAGCTGAAAAAGAGACAGATGAAAAGCAGCTGAGACACAGTCCGGAACAAGGAGATCGGCTCGCCGGTGATAAAACGAGAGCAGTGCAGCAAACCACAAATGTCTCTAGCCTCAGAGGGCACAGAGAAGCAGAGAGAGAAGTGACCTTCCCCAGCTGTGTTGTCACTCAGATAGATGGCCAGCGTCTCGCTAACTCCTCAGAGGGTCTATGGGTGTTGAGCATCCTAAGAAAACCAAAACATAATGACTTATTTCTTTTTGTTTGTTTTTGTGTCTCTTTTCTGGACACTGGTCCTTGTTCCAGAGCAGCAGAGGGTGGAGAAGAGTATAAAAGCTTTCCTACGTTGGCTCAGCTTTGTCTTGAAAGAACAATAAAAGCTATAGGCAGAAGTAGCTTGGTGTCCGGTAGATGACTCCTTCCCTGTTCTTCGGGTTGCCTTCTGTCTCTAATGAACCTAGCTACACAGAGCTCCTTCCCGTTTCCTGCGCGAGGTCACTGTACACGCGCACACAGCATGCACACACGCACACACACGCACGGCTTCCTCCTTTATCCAGGTGTGCAGCCCAGCCTGCACGCATTCTGCTAATCATCCTACACCTGCTCCACAGGGCTAGAGATGATCTGAGGGGTTCAGAGAATGTAGGAGTAGAAACCCAAAATACCTAAACCTTGAGAACAAACTAGAAAAAAAAAAACATTTTGCAGCCTGAGGATAAGATAGCTAATGGGGGCATAGTCTAAGTTTGTGAAATATTAAACATTATAGAAAGTATAAATGGGTCCCTATTCTGCAAACTTCGGCATATCAGGACAGGAAAAGCCTTCTGGAGCTTCTAAAAGGTAGTTTTAGGACAGATAAGAGTCAAACAACCCAGCAAGTAACAAGCAAAAGGAATATGTCCACCACCAAGAAGCTGGATGGCACATTATAAAAAAATCAACATCTCACGAGGTCAAAGAGAGGAAACTTACACAGTTCGTGCTTCCACTCAGATACAACCATAGCACTGCCATGTGTCAGGTGCCAGGGAAACAGAAATGAAGACAACTCGGCCACTGGCCTCAAAGACCTACAGTCTCCCATGGGGGGCACAGATGTGGAAAGAACTACACCGGAGCGGAGAGGACCGTGATGGGGCCATCCCAGGGCTAGGAAAGCATGAAGTAGGGGATGGAAAAGTCATGAAAGACTTCCTAGGAAACAGATAAAAAAGGAGTAGCTGAAGGGGCGTAAGGCACACACGGGGACTTGATCCCCACATTGCGCAGTAGGAAGAAGCAGCTAAGAGTTTTCCCCCTGAGTCTACGAGAATCCTGTTGTTTCACTGCATTGCCTCAGTGATAGTCCCTTTCCTTGGGGCAGATCCACGAGGGATTCGGGCTCAGTAGAGGAGCAGAGGCCCAACCCATCCGCTGCCTTGATTCTGCCTTTCCGTGGTGTTTTTAGACACTGAGCATTAAGTTAGTCGGTGGGCATCTCACGCGGCCCAGCTCATGGAGCTCCTCAAGGCAGCTTTCCCACGGATGGTCCTGGGGGCCCTTGTTCTCTGCTCACTGGTGCACCGCCCTCTCTCACACACACATGCAGCCAGTTTCACATTTAACACTGATGGTGCTTTCTACTTGCAATAGAAAAATTAAAGAACACAGAGAAGAAGAAAAAAAAGGGAAAGAAAAATACTAGGAAAGGAAAAGAAAGAAAGAGGTAAGAAAAAAGAAAGCGTAAAAACACCCCAAGCCCCTTGTATTTCATCTCTCAGTAAATAAGGGGAAGTTCTTGCATTGTTTCTTAGACATTTAGGTAGTAAGACAGTTGACTGAACATGGTGATTTCCTATAACTCGAATGATTCTGCATATTAAGTACAAAAAAATTGTGGTGATACACCCAAGGACCTGGAAAACTCGCTGCCTGGACTAGAAGCATGCACGAAATAAGGTGAAAGGGTTTCAAATGTACAGTTTGCAAAATGTTCTGGCTTAGAAGCTCCGCAAGGGCAGGGGTCAGATCTTAGTCATGTCTTCATCTCCCAGAACCTGATAGGAGGCAATGCAGGGAGTATAGGATGGTACTGGTTGAATCTACTGCTGGGAAATGGCATTGAACTCACAGGTGTACTGCGCGGAGAGCACCTTTCTCTTGCGGGTAACAATTCCTGGTAACACTATGATCTGGACAGTGCACAGGCCCTATTTCCAGGATTATGTGTCTAAAGACGGCTGTTTGCCTGGCTGGTGTGGCTCAGCGGTTGAGCATCGACCTAGGATCCAGGAGATCGAAGTTCGATTCTCAATCAGGGCACATGCCCGGGTTGCGGGCTCGATCCCCAGCAGGGGGCGTGCAGGAGGCAGCCGATCAATGACTCTCATCATTGATGATTCTCTCTCTCCCTCTCCCTTTCTCTCTCTGAAATCAATAAAAATATATTTTAAAAAATTAAGATGGCTATTTATCAAGGTGTTTGTAACCATCTCACCATTTGTTTTATGCTAGTGACCTGTGAAAAAGGTAGCACAGAGTTTCTCAGTTTATTCAACAGTTGTGTCTCAGAAGAAATTGTATTCAAGGGCAGTGCTTCCCAGCTTTCTTCTAAGGCTTTTGGTTTCTGGATCTGCAATGGCACCATCCTCCACAGGCTGGGGAGAAAGGCACAGCCTGTGCCCCTAGGGAGCTGCCCATATTACAGAGCTGATCGATGCCAGTGTGGGCCTTACAGGTATAGATGGGCAGCCATAGTCCCAATGCCCGAAAAGGACATGGAACCAAATATAGCTTTTAGAATGGTCATAGACTATATCAGGCTTTATAACAAAGATTTGCATCTCCACCATGTTTAGCTCTTAAAAACACAGATTAATACTATGTTAATAAAATAGCCAGCACTTTAGAATCCCTTCTATGTAATAGGAGCAGCCAAGAGCTTTACATGTATCATTACATTCGATCCTCACAAAGTGAAGAGAGAGGCATTATTATTATTCCATTTTATAGATGAAGAAAATGAGGCACAAAGAGAATTAAGTAATTATACAAAGTCACACATCTAGGGAATGGCAGAGCTGAGATCTGAACCCAGGCAGTCTGACTTCAGAATCTGCGTTCACTTCCTTCCCTCCAAACTAAAATTCACCAGAAAACATAAGTACAAATTAAAATGCTCAAGGAGGATCAGACAAAGTATCGTCTTTTAGTTTCCTGTGGTCCCCAAAATATAAAACTGTAATAATGTTGGAAGACATAGGCTCTGACCTGAAGAATGTCTAAGTAATTTTTACACATGCATTCATTTCAAGATCTGTCTAAAAATAAGTCTTTAAACCTCCAATATCAGCTTCTAGAGAACGGGAATTGTGGGCACTGTGAGCACTGTGTCCTGGGGACACGCAGTCCATTTTAACGAGTCAAGGCAAATTGCATGGTTATCTTCCAGAAACCTTTTGCTGTTAGGAAACGTGGACATGCTGTGAGGACCCCTCTCATCCTCTCTGTTCAATTTTCAACAAAGCATCCCTCTTCTTTCTACTCAGCCAGCACAGGCAGGGGGTTTGATAAATGACATATGGGGTCATGAAAATTTGGTGTGAAATGATGTTGACTTAAAGTTCTTAAAGAATCACCAAAAGTTTGGGTAGGAAGATGTCTTACCTTCATAAGATCACCAGCTATTACTGCCTGCAAAATTGCTGCGAAAGACAAAAGAGAGATGTCTCATTAGTAGAAGACCCTCTCATTAAAATATTTAAAAGGGCTGGATCCATATTTTGCAGAAATAGTCTACATTTGAGGCAGGGACCAGGGAAGGAGAAGCATGCCAAGGTCGAATCTTGGAACAGGCTATGAGGCCTTCTCGTCAGCCCTTCCCTACCCGGGCACCCATCCCCTGTATCCTCTAGAGCCTGCCAGAGCCCCCTCCAGCTCTGGGGCAGCAAAGAGAACATGAAATTTGGAGTCGCACAGGTTGGGTTCAAATCTTAACTCTGACACAAGTTGTGGAACACTGAGTGGAGCATTTAATCCCTCTGGGCCTCTGTTTCCACATCTGTAAAACAGCAAGTCTAAATCTTCTAGGATTGCTGAAAGGACCGATTAAATCACATAAATGTTCCTAACACATTCACCGATGCCGGCTAGGTGCCTAGTCATGCTTGCGTTTGGTCCCCTTTTTCTAGTTCCTCCTACGTTGTCCTCTTGGGGTTCAAAAAAACACTAGTGATTTTGTGGGTGTGCTTTGTAATGATAAATGAATACCTCCTGCTATGGAAATGAAGGGGACCAGCAGCAGTGAAGAGGAAACACATATATTTTAATTACGTTTTGGAGAAAATAATCATGTTTAGCATCTAATTCAATGGTGACTCTTATGGAAAGGACCCAAAGGCTTAGGTAACCCGAACTAATTGTAAGAATATATAGCCTTAGGGGGGAAATAGAAGTACATGTGCATGTCATGGGGGGGTAGATGGATGAGAAAATAGGACTGATAAAAGGGGAACAGAGTATGCCTGCGTCTAATGACAATTGTGTTCCTAAAGGGGTCATATGCATAAGGTTAGAAATGGTTGCTGTAAAAAATAAAAACAAAACCTAGCCCAGCCGTTTGGCTCTGAGATTGAACACTGGCCTAGGATCCAGGAGATTGGGGTTCAATTCCCAGTCAGGGCACATGCCCAGGTTGCAGGCTCGATCCCCAGTCGGGGGCGTGCAGGAGGCAGCCCATCAATGACTCTCTCATCATTGATGTTTCTATCTCTCTCTCTCCCTCTCCCTTCCTCTCTCTGAAATCAATAAAGACATATTTTTTAAAAAAAGGAAAGAAAAGAAAAAGAAATACCTAAAACTACACCAAAGATAGATTATTTTAGGCTTTAATGTCACAAAAATTTAGAAGAATTTATTTTTCAAAGCATCATTTCATTGTTCTGTGTGAGCAGTCTCTCCTATAGAGTTAGCCAAAAGTTCAGTATCATGCATCAAAGTACATGGAGCCTTCGACCGTCCCTGAGCAAAGCCCTCCAAGCTTTTATGTGGAGCGTTTCCGAGCCCGGGTGCCAGGTGCCGTGGGCCGCAGGCACGTTGAACTCTCTCACTGGCCCCGGACCGAGTGCCTTCTCCCCGATCAAAGCAGGAGCCCTGCAAACCTACGGAAATGAGCACGGAGGAAGAGGGGGGAAGAAAGAATAGAGAGAAAAAGAGAACCGGAAAGAGCGGGAAAGTGTTTCCTTTCCGTAACGAGCTGTCCACAACATGCCCTTGTCACCTCCCTGAGGCGCCTGCGCAGTGCTTGGTCCACTGTCAATACACAACAGTTGGTTGCTGGACGGATTGAAAAGACGGCAAAGAGAGAAAGGACTGAGAAGGGGAGAGAGACAAAAGTCACAGACAGGGACCTGATAAAATACTGTATCAAAAGAACCTAAGAAAACATGTCCTGTTCTTCATATTATGGATGGGGACACTGGGGTTCAGGGTAAAGTGGCTCTCTTGGAGCACAGGGCTAGTGGTGGCCCAGTCACCACCATCACACGGTTCCCTGTGTCCAGTCCAGGTCTCTGTCTACTGCCCTCTGTGGGCTCACCATGCAGAGCTCTACTAGAGGTGTACAGAAAATGGAAGAAAATAGTCTTTATAGATTGTAAAGCTTATAAGGTTGTGGAAAAGGCACTGGATTAGAGTCTTAATTCTAATCTCTATAAGTTACTAGGCACATAAATTTAAGAAGTCACTCAATCTTCTTGAACCAATTTTCTTACTTGTAAAATACGGTTAACAGCTATACCGCTCATCTCTCTGTACTAAGAATAAAACAAAAAAAATGCTTTATAAATAGATATGTAATATTACCAGAAGGGTTAGTTCTCAGGACTTTTGTGACTGTGCATGAAAAAGACATGAACACTTGGGAAGCAGCAGACACAGCTCTGTTACTAGCGGCCCATCACATGAAGGAGCCGATGGGATGGCGCCTAACCCCCAGAGGTACAGCCTGCATCGGAGGCCAGGGAGGCAGAGGCGGGAGGGAATATTAGCAATTGCAGGCCTGGGGGAACAAATCAGCTTGGACTTTTATGCTACAGGATGCTCTTTCACGCAAGCAGAGTACCCACCTAGGAAAGAAAGAAGGTGAGGGAAACTGCCCGAGGGGAAAGTTAATGCCGAGCTGCTACACACTAGTTCAAAACAGCATAGAGCCTACGCTTTCAAAATCATATTAAAACTTTCCCCAGAACCTAAAAGAAAAAAAGAGGAATGTAGAGAAAAAGAGAATAAAGGAGAGAGAAAAGAAAAATGAATTCATTAACTTAGAGCACTTGTGTAATAAACTTTAGTGCATGTAAGTAATAAATCAAGACAATGAAGGAATTCCCCAGGACTAAGGCTATTTAAGGGGCACTAAAAGTGGAAGGAAGGAAGGAAGGAAGGAAGGAAGGAAGGAAGGAAGGAAGGAAGGAAGGAAGGAAGGAAGGAAGATTTGATAGGAGGTAACAAGGGACAAGTGGCTTCTGGGTGACCAACCAATGTGGTGTGCCACATGCATATAAAGTGGAGTACTTGGCATAGAGTAAGTGCTCAACATGTTAGCTATTTTGAATGCCTGTGTGTGTGTATGTGTATTTGTGTATCTGTGTGTGGTTATATGTGTTCTCCATTCCTCCTAACAATCCTGTGAAGTTGGATGTTGTACAAATGAGGCCTAATACACAGCTGGTAAAAGGTAGAGCCAGGCCTCAGACCCAGTTCTTTCGGACTTCAGTCCAAGGGCTCTTTCCATTGCTATGCCATGACCCACCCTTCCCTTAAACTGGCCCTCTTAGGTCTTTGTCTTAGAATCACATCAGGCCCAAGAGGGACTGATGAAAAGACAAGGATCAGCTCTGAAATAAGTTGATGCCTGTCCCTGGGGCTATTCATGGAGTGACGATGAAGTCATGAGAAGAGGTTCCATAATTACATGTGCTAGACATGTGCCTCCACCTGAGAGTAGTCACTTTGGAATGGTCCTGCTGGGAGGCTTGGCACTTTTTCTGATGATACCGCTATTGCCCAGAACTCCTGTGGGACTTTCCCTTTACAAGTCATGAAAAGACCTCAACCCTATTACTGTAAAATTACACCGCATGTCTGATCCCAAACCCAGCTGCAGCTCCTCATCTCATTTACCATGAGTTCCAAATGGCTTTTGACTTGCCAAAAATAAAAAAAATCATTCCCTGGAGATAGAATTGTATTGTAATTNAAGGGAGAAGACAGGAGAAAATTTATTGGCTAACTGTGGAGTTCAAAAAAGGTTTCTTGGAGGAGGCACAGTTGAAGCCAACTTATGATAAGTAGAAGTAATTAGCAAAGGAGGTTTGGGAAATTCTTGTACGATAAAGGTAGGATATGAACAAAGACGTGAAAGTTCAAAGTCATGGTGTCGGAGGGAACCTGCAAAGAGCTGCATGTGACCACGTCTGAAGTGGGGAGAGGTCTCGGGCAATGTCTGTGATCACGGGGACCACCCCAGTGAGCACAATTCATGTCAAGAGAAAGCTCTTGGGTTTTACCCTGCAGGGGATGGGAAGCTACTGAAGAGTGAAAAGTTGATGAACGTTCTTAAGGATGCCAGTATGCTCATCCCCTCCTAGAAAGAGAGTGACGGCCTGCTCCCAGCTGTGTCCTCCCGACACCCACACTGCAGCCCCTTTTGGTTTCCACCCCAGACTCACTCAGAAGCACTGTGACTTATGTCTGTTCATTTCCAACAGCCTCCCAGCTTCAAGCCCATATGAACAGGTAGAAGATCACATAACAGAGTCACAACCACAAATAATTTCCAGTTGCACTGGAGATGGAAAGCTTGAATATTTATTTGTAAGTCAAGCAATGCACCCAAGGGTAGCTATTATGCAAACATTAGCAGGCACAAGGCCCACTTCTCTCTCCTCATTAATGTCCTTCCCCATGAGCACTGCTGTTTAAGATTTCCTCGGCGTAAAGAGAGCTTGAATCCATTAGTCTCAACTCCAGATAATACCCTTCTGAAAGATCAAGCTTAAAAACAAAAGAGTTGTTATGATTACGGTATTATCCCTTATTATGTCCTGAGCTCTTGCCTTTTCCAAGACTCCTCTACTCTGAAGAAACAATGCCCCACATGCAAAGACGCAAAACAGGCCAAACTGTTAATGGAACAAAAGGTTACTGAGTAGATGAGTAAGTTCCTGGACGATTACATCGCATAAACTTATGTAATTAGACAGAAAAGTAAGGGGGGGCAGGGAATGGAGAACTTTGCCATTTTTAGGGGTGAGAAGTTGAATCATTAGTCACATGAAACGGTTTGTTTTTCCTTCAGCGCTACGCCTTCCAGTGAATTGCTATCCTGTAAACATCCCAAGACAGAAAACTGGAACTGAGAGGCCAGGGCGCCAGGAAGGAATCACTGTTCTCCTTCTCGGTCTCTGCTCCTGAGGCCTTGATGCCCAAGAGCCAGGATATCCTCAGACATCCGTGCATGGAAGAAATAAATGGCTCCTCTCACCTGGACTCTGCATAGGGACAGCGGTCCACGGGGCCACTGGCTGGCCCGCCTGCTCCTGCCACGCCAAGCCCTTTGAGGATGCGGGAATGTAACTAGAAAATAAGCGTCCCCTCTCAGGGAACTGACATTTTGGCAAGGAGTCCACACTTGGAAAGGACATAT